TATACATATCTTTAATATTAATTTTTCAGCTTATCCATTACCAGTACTGTCATTATGGCTTAAGTTATATAACTATTATAATTATGTTATTATTTATATACTATGTTTAAATATAATATTTTAAAATATATTTTGTTTATTGTAGCTCTCTTTTATTATATAATGAAATTTCAATTTAATTACTGGTGGTCTTTAATTTAACATGGAGGTTTATGCAGGGGTGTCACCCGATAGATCTGGTGGAGAAAATATTAATTAGAATCATTCATTAAAGCCACAGACAGTGAGCCACTTTCAGGCATCTAGACGTGGCAAACACTTTTTTTCTCCTCAGCCTTAGCCATGGTGGGCAGATACTGGACTGGCCCATCAGCTGTTGAGGAATGGTGGACTGTCCGTGAAATGCTGACACCACTACTGCATCTTGAAAAATCACGCCATGGCTGCATTCAATGTGCAAAGAGATACTCGGACCTGTTGGAAAATGGAGCCATCCTCAGCAGTCATTTGAATGCGTTCTCTCACTTCAACCTGTGGACTACCACCTCGCAGATGGGCATCGATAGAATCAGAGAGATTGTGATGGATAAGCCAGCGATCTCGCTCTCGTAGTTCAATAAGTACATCAAATGAAGGGTCACGCTGGCGCTCAAGCATCGTTTTAGTGGTCGACTTACGTGAGATAACCTCCTCTTTGCTTAGAATTACACTATGAGCACTGCCAGCGATCGGACGCAAGGATGGATTGCGGTGAATATCCTCACAGGTTTGACCATGTGCAGTTGCAATTAGTTGTACACCACGTTCGGCAATACTTTGCGCTGCTTGCGCTTCTTGGATTGTGCCAATTTCATCGATGATAATCACTTCTGGATTATGATTCTGTACAGCTTCTATCATAAATTTGTATTGTTCACTTCTAGGATGTACCTAAAATAATAAAAATCAACAGCAATAGAGATAAAAACAGCAAGGTCAATAACAATAACGTTAAAGTACAGGAATCAGTAACAATAATTACAAATAAATAAACAGTAATGCTGGTTTATAGTGCCAAGCCTTTACATTACATCATTATCATCATTATGAATTTGATGAATGCTTTAATAGAAACACAATTTAAATAAATAAATTTAGTAAAATATATTAAACAAATCAACATGTTTATTGTATATAGAAACAGACTATCATCAAAAGTTAAACCATATTTTCATACAGTTTCTGTTTTTCATATGTTGAGAGTGCTATGAAAGGTTTGTTAATAGAAGTGGTTGGCACATTGGTTGTAGCTTGGACTCATTACCTTGAGGTAGAGGGTTCGAAACGCTCGCTGTGCAAGTCGCTTGTGTCCTTGGCCAAGGCACTTTATCTATGGTTGTCACTCTCCACTCTCCACCTACCTACCCACAGTACAAGTGGGTAGGTTCAAACACAACCATGCGCTGATTACAGCTGCAACATTATGGGGCATGAGTGTTGATCCAGTGACCGGGGTAATAATGTAAAGCACATAGACGTTAGTCTACAATATGTGCTATATAAGTTGACAATTATAATAATAATTATTATTATTATTATTATTAATAATTAATACAGGTTTCCCTCCAATTAAAGACCACTTTTGGGACTGGTTTTCATGGTCTTTAGTAGCTTTGGTCTCTAATTAGAATAATAAAAGTAAAAGACACTTGTTATTTGGGACCACAGAAAAGTGGTTTTTAATTGGAGGTGTCTTAAATTGAGAAGTGTTTAATTAGCGGGAGACATATTACGGGAGTGCAGGAAAGTGTAAATAATTAAAATTTAAATATCAAAATATAAAATGACTAAATTTAATACAAAATGTAGTTTCAATATTATTAAATATGTCTGAGATTTTATAGAATTACCTGAAGTCGTCTTGCACTTCCTAATGATTCATGAAGGGTGTCTCCATCTCCCCCAATCTATAAATTCAAAAATAAACAAAAAAAATAATTTGACAATGATAATAACTTTGAAATCAAATGTTACCACAAATACATAATATGTGCAGAAAACTAAACATTAAATTCCCAGAGACACAGAAATTCTCTCACAGAGGAATAACTCTAAGTTCTTATACTCGTAAAATACCAAAATTCGCAGGAATTCTTAAATTTTTGAATAAAATGGTAGGTAGGTAGACCATATTATTCCCACAAAATTATTCGTAATTACTATTACCTCTTAATAAATAAAATATAAAAATTCATTTAAAAAAAATTCAAATCTTCAAATAATAAACACAATGCTATATAATACAGTATAGTTGACATACAGTGTATCACTGGAGTAATGTTTTGCCCTACCTGACATGTTAACGTACTGAATACTCAATACGTTCCCAAATACTTGAGAAAAAAACGCTAGATGGGGATCGTATTCAACACTAGCCACTAAGCACAAGATCAGTGGTCTAGTGGTTATGACACCAGGCTAGTTATCTGGAGGTTGTGGGTTCGATTCATACCCAAATCACTTGCAAATTTTTTTCACAAGTTTTCAGGAACGTACTGATAAACACATCACAGAAACAAACACAGGTAGGAAAAAACATCACTCATATGATATATTCCTGAGGCAGGCACACCTCAAAACAGTATATCATTCCAAATTAATGATTATTTATGTTGTTAATCTGTAAATTAATGTTTTTTATTTCCCGTTTTGATATCTTTTGTATGTATTTATATTAACCTTTGAGTTATTGTTTTGATGTTTCTTTTTATTCATAGTTTTTTGTATAATTCAACTAATGTTTTCCATTTTAGTTGCAATAAAAGGAGTGATTGATTGATTGATTAATTGATTGAAGAATGCCATAAACTACACCTCAGACCTGGGAAATATAAACTATTAAAATATATCATATTTAAGTCTTAATATTTGATTGAGAGAGTAACCCGTTGACTTAAAATCAGACAAGCAATGGAATTTATACATTGTTACGTAACTTAAAACTTCAAAGACAAATCATAAAAGTACTGTACAGTAAATTGTTACACTAACTTCATTTGATGTGTCCACAATCATCACTCTTTGCTCGAGGACGTCACTGAGGACCCGAGCAAATTCCCTCAAGACAGTTGTCTTACCGACACCTGGGACCCCGAGAATGAGTACAGATTTACCACTAGCCACAATATCAAAGATCATATCCAAGCAGCCATAGATGGCACGGCCAACTCGTGCAGTCAGTCCGATTGGTTTCAGCTGTCTATTACAGATGTTGCTGAGAAGATAAAATTAAGAGTATTTGGTTTTTGGTTTGGCAGTTGTGGTTCTGCTTCTCAACCTTGAGGTTGGAGGTTCGCTCCCTCACTGTGCATTTCGCTTGTGTCCTTGGGCAAGGCACTTTACCTATGGTTGTCTCTCTCCACCCAGGAGTACAAGTGGGCACCTGCAACATTATGGAATTCTCCCAAGGGATCTGAGTATGTGTTCCATGTGTGCTTGATCCAATAACTGGTGATAATAATATTAAGCACATAGAGGTCTCTACAATATGCGCTCTATAAGGTGACCATTATGTTAGTTACAGTGGGCGGAGGTTGGTGGGATCACCTATCCATGAAGTTTTCCACCCAGTCTAAAGCTAATTTCAAGGTCCTCTACTCACATTCATTACCCCTTGCCCATCCTGAAATTCCACTCTTATTATTTAGAGTTAAACAATGTTATCCCCCACCCCCACAATGTTATCCCCCAGCACTACGAAAACAGGCACCACAAGATGGGAGGTTGATTTAAAGAGAAAATTGAGAATTTTGACATTCGACCACTGAAGGTCATGCCTCCATTTTTTCTCTATCTGAAACTCTGCATTAAGACAGATTACTACATAGATTCCAATAACATTAACAAAAATAATAACAATAAAAAATAGTGATAACAAAAATCAATAATAAAAGCAATAATTTACAACAAATTAATATAATAATAATACTGTAATTATAATAATCAAAATAAATAACCTTATTATTATTATTCATCATTGTTATCATAAAATGAATAAATAAATACAGGAACTTGTATAACATGTTTCAAAATATTTCAAATTATAAAAAAATAATAAACAATAAGTTTTTTTGACTTTCTTACAATCATAAGCCCTCTACAGTTTAATACAAGCTTAGGTATTCATAATGTACCAGATTAGGTATTAAAGATAAGATATAAAGTAATGAATTTGTATATTATTAGCCAAAATGTAAATTACACCTACTAAACACTGAAAAATATTCAGTTTAACACTAATGATTGGGTATAGTTACCTGACACGATGAAGTGTGCCCTCTATACCTGCACGCCGATCTGATGTGAACTCAGTAAAATTATTGCCAGAAAATATTTCTTCAACTTGCTGAGAACTGAGAGCAGTGTCCATTAAATCTTTGAATATACATTTTCCTGTGCCAGGCTGGTAATATCTACATGAATCAAAAATATAATTAAAATCTCAATCACTAACAGCAACAAAAATAATAAAATTAATAACAACATAATAACAATAAATAAAAACAATAAACAATTAATAATAATAATAATAATATACATTTTCCTGTGCCAGGCTGGTAATATCTACATGAATCAAAAATATAATTAAAATCTCAATCACTAACAGCAACAAAAATAATAAAATTAATATTAACATAATAACAATAAATAAAAACAATAAACAATTAATAATAATATTAATAATAATATACATTTTCCTGTAAATAAAAAGAATAAACAATAAGCGGCGGCGGCAGCTGCAGCAGCAGCAGCAATAATAATAATTTCACTAAATTGGACTTAAGGGGAATATCTTTTGTGATTTTCCACCTAACGTCGTTTTTTTAATTGTTCTCTAATTCTTCCATTGTCTAAGTTTCCCTTAAGCCAGGTTTTAGTAACATAATAATAATACTAATAATAATAATAACAATAATAATAATAATAATGATAATAATAATAATAATAATAACAATAATGATTCAATAATATTAATAATCTTGTTTTTTATCGAATTGTTAATAATAATAATAATTGTAAAATAATGCTGCATTAATTGTAACTTTAAGAAAATCATATTTTTGTAAGGTTTTGTAAATTAATCTTATTGTATTTTTATATCTGTTAATAATATCAATTACCTATTGTATTATTATTATAAATATTATAATGATCATTCTGTTTTCGTAAGACTTTTTTATATCAGGTGGTTTTAGTGAAGCACCTTACTCATTTTGGAAAGGTGCTATATAAATCATATTATTATTAGGATTCAGATAAAAACATTAACAAAAAATATCTATAAAACACAGCTTTAGAGATGCAATGATTCAATATAGGGAACAATTGCAGTGGTTGATAATTTCTACATGACCTACCTTGCATGTGGCTTTCGTCCAATATCCAAGACAACTTCAACAAGAAATTCTAGTGGATACAGGTCCTGCTGATGAAAACTCTGTAGAGCCTCCTGGATTTCCTCTGGAAAAACTTCTAAGAATCGTTGCATATCTCTTTTGTTTGACTCATCAACACTGTCAATCATTTCCTGAGTAATGCTTGTTGGATTAACAGACTGATATGTCTACAAAAATAAGAAGTAAACAAGGTTTTGTTTCAATCAATCAATCAATCAAACAACAAGGATTTTCATGGCACCACGTACTGGTCCAACTTGTTGTGGACAGACGAAAGTGTGCCTCCTGGCAGCTGATGCGACATCCTGTGAGCATTTCAGCTTAGTTAAAGCTGCAAGTCACATGTTATTACCTAACCCTACCAATATACACTGCAGAATGCAATGAGTGGCACTATGACAATGGTATAGAGTCAAAGTGCACATGAACTACTGATGTTAATTCATATTAATATACTACCCTATATGAACATCAGATGGTACAGTAGATTATAAAAAGATTACCATTTTTAAGCATAAAATTATTGGTTAATCTGTGAAAATAGATATCAGTAATGAATAATTAAAATAATAATATTTGTTTAATTTTCTATTCACAATACTAACGATGAGTACGAAAACAATGATGACAATTGGGTAGGAGGTGGTGGTGATGATGATGATGATGATAATAATATTAAATGATACATGAAATTGAGTAATATGAAGCAAAAAAAATTAATGGTAGGTATTAGCATACAGAAACATCATGTAGAAGCTGCCATCATAATTGGAAAATATATTTAAGTTATAGAGCCCTCTGGATTAAAATCATGACAGTATTAAACCAATAATCATCAACCTTGAATAAGGAGTGAAGGGGTAATCTCAAAAGTCTTACCGCACTATGTAAAGGTATGAAATATGCATTGATGTTTTCATCAAACTGAAGCAATCTGGTATTTGTCACTGACTGTGGCATTGGAGAGACTTTGGTACGTTTGCTAAGTGGAATCGGTTGTGACATTTGTCGGCTAGGGTATTGCTTGAATTGAGATGGCTCGAGTTGAATTTTTGAAAGCCTATCAGCTACATTCACAACATCCTCTGGGGCAACTACAGAAGCACCTGAATTTGTATTTGCATATAGCTCATTTGCATATCCATTAGTCAGGGCCTCAGTGGGTACACCAGATATTGGAACAATGGTAGGTTGTTGTGTTTCATACAGATCGCTACCATCATTTATGGGCTTGTTTTTGAGAGCATCAAGGCAAGCTTGGCTAAAACGACGTATATTTTCTGATCCAAGATGTCTGAAAGAAGAAAGCAACAATTCATCTTGTTTGAATTTTAGCTCATTGAGTACTCTTAACATAGAAAATACAACAAAGCACACATCAAATAAACATTGGAATATGAGATAACAAACACAAATTGTATAAATAGTTTATTTGTTAAATAACATAAAGGAACTCCAAAATGCTGGGCACCAAACCAAAGTGCTTGATTACTAATACAGTATTGAGGACTGTCTGATGGGTTAAAATAAAATAATATAAAAAAATATTCATTAATTATTTAGCTCCATGATTAATAATCAGTTGATAATCTTTGTGAGGATGATATGAGAAAATGTACCAAAATAATACTGTTTTTAGCAGAATATCATTATTTTTATTAGTTTAAATACTTATATGATATTGAAAAAAATATATTTTTATATATTTGCCTTAAACCAGTGGCTGCATTAGCAACAATGCCCATAAACAGCACAAGTGGTGCATACAGCCCCAGAGATGGACAATGCATTACAAAAAAAATACGTAAATAAAACAGATTATTTACTTCATTTTAGCTCTTCTGTCATAAATACTGAATGAAAATATTTAAAATACTTTAATATTTGTACAATTAATGCATCGGCAGGAATCAGGATCTGATCAAAATTAATGGGTGCTGGATTTTCAAAAAGTAAAACGTAACTATCTCTATGCACTTACTGAAGCATTGTGCGATAAATGGATGGTACCAATGCAGTAACACTGTACGTTAAGTAAAGAATGACCTCTGCAGTTAAAGGATGGCCTTGCCAAAGTTTCTTAACATTTGGCTTTTCAACAAGTGTCACATTCATATATTGGCAAAGCTCATTAAAATTTATTGATTGAGGGTGGTTGACTTGTTTCTCGTTCACGATCTGGTAACAAATCTGTTGAAAAATTAAATATTCAGTAGCAGATCAATCAATCAAACATTCAATCATCAGTACTTCTATAGTGCTAAAATTCATCAGGGATTAGGGTGGGTAGGGGCGTTTCGAGAGAATATGTTATGTATAAAAATAGGTTTTAAAGTGTAAATGTAAAATGCACTCTGTTTTCACCATTTTCTCCTAGTCTTTCTCTAATATGTACAACAATCACCTATCAAAATATAGTCAGTTTCTTTTGGTGTGTTTTTTTATTATTCTCAATTCTTTTTTAAACGGAATTTTGTGCTCAGGGATTATACAAAGCACTCAGTTTAACATGATGAAAGAGAAAAACAAAATTACAAATCAAAACAAAAGACATTTCAAAAACCTAAAATAAAACTCATTATGACATTTCAATAACAAACTTTTGTAAGTTTTGCAGTATCTCATATGAAACCTCAAACATTTCTCTTTCCATTTGAAGTCGAAATCCATTTTTAGAGTTGTAAAAGTTTCACTTACTAGTTTAATAAATCATTTTTAAAAAAATGTATTACCTTAGTGTCAAAGACATACTTAAGTTGTATTTGAAACTGCTCCAGTAGTCCTTGAGATAGTGTCTGGCTATCATGACAAACCTGAAGATTAAAAACATGTTGTTCAGAACTACAATTTCAGGTATTGGGGTCATGGCAGAAGTGTCCTAGTCGCGGCCCTGAATAACGCTAATTCTACCAACACCACACACCAGATCAAGTCAACACATACTTGTATTACCATTTTCTGCATCATGCCATCTGATGGACCTGGCAGAGTACAATGTGCTTGAAACTATGTCAGTGACGCAGTTCTATAGATGCAATGCCACGATGTGCGCAAGGGATCTTTTTTTTTTTTTATGATCCGTTGAGACTGCTACTTACAATCAGCAGTATGACATTTCAATAACAAACTTTTGTAAGTTTTGCAGTATCTCATATGAAACCTCAAACATTTCTCTTTCCATTTGAAGTCGAAATCCATTTTTAGAGTTGTAAAAGTTTCACTTACTAGTTTAATAAATCATTTTTAAAAAAATGTATTACCTTAGTGTCAAAGACATACTTAAGTTGTATTTGAAACTGCTCCAGTAGTCCTTGAGATAGTGTCTGGCTATCATGACAAACCTGAAGATTAAAAACATGTTGTTCAGAACTACAATTTCAGGTATTGGGGTCATGGCAGAAGTGTCCTAGTCGCGGCCCTGAATAACGCTAATTCTACCAACACCACACACCAGATCAAGTCAACACATACTTGTATTACCATTTTCTGCATCATGCCATCTGATGGACCTGGCAGAGTACAATGTGCTTGAAACTGTGTCAGTGACGCAGTTCTATAGATGCAATGCCACGATGTGCGCGAGGGATCTTTTTTTTTTTTTTTTATGATCCGTTGAGACTGCTACCGACAATCAGCAGACGGTGTCGCATCATAATTTAGGGGCCATTGGGAATCATGACCGCCGTACAACACAGTGAATGCCCGGCTTAAGTCGACAGTGTGGCCGTTTACAATGAGATTGTGTCAGATGTGCATTGGGGGTAGGGATGTGTCAGAATCGGATGATGTGATGAATGTTTGTGTACATGTGAATGAGATGCTTGTGTGGGGTTTGCACTTGTTCATGCAGGGATGTTGCAGCATTGACATACACTAGGTTGTCTGTGTGTGCAACTGGGTGTGTTTAAAGGTGTGTGTGTGTGTTTACCTTAAGAATGTCTTTATCTTCAAGTAGTCTCTTCAAACTCTCATTCTCATTAACATGCAGATGGTTATTGCTTCCTTTTGGGGAGAACTCAATGATGCACACTTCTCCATCCCATGATGCAATAGACAGCACAGTGATCACAAACTTTTTCTTTTTGCTGAAGCCCTCTACATGCAAAGCAATAATTGGCTGTTCATATGTGCGTTTGTTCATCATTAGAAAAGTTGCAACTACATTAGATGTGGAACTGTCAACTACTTGGACACAATCAGGTGGAGGCATGACACTGAGAGTCATCTGCTCATCAGCCAGCAGATGCTGTTGTGCTTCCATCACAACTGGTTGTTCTTTTCTAAGGTCTTCAACTTGATTTTTCTTAGTACCTGGTATGACATCTGTGCTTGGTTTGGCTTGTCCCTTCTGCAGATACATTTGAATATCTGTATCATGTTTGTTTGCAAACAGCTGGTCACTCTCAGAAAGTACCATCTGATGTTTACTGACAGCCATTAGTTCATCCTGAGCTTGCAAATTTTGTTGGTCCTGCATCACAACTAGTTTTTCTTTATCCCTTGCAACCACTTTCTTGGTTGTTGGTGTAACTACAGCATTGGGATTATCAGCACCGACCACTGAGACATTGTTCGCGTTGCTAATTTTGAATATTTGAAGATTCTTCATGGAAATGCGAAATGTTTCATAACATGTACCCAGTCCAAATTTCTTTTTGTCTCTTATTTGCATGTAACGGTCGTAAAGTTCTGTTAGTTTTAGGGACTTTTTTGGACTTAAAAGAATAATTGCTTTTAACTCACTTAAAATCTGTGCTTTATAACCATTTTCACTTTCTTCTTGTTGTTTTAAGTCCTGTCTCTTCTTCACAAATGTTTCTATATCTGAATCAATGTTTACATCCTTTGGAACTAGCTGGCCACCCTCAGGAAGTGTCATCTGATGTTTACCAAGAGGCAGTTGTTTACCTTCAGCTTGCAAATTGTGTTGTTCCTGCATAACAACCAGTTTCTTCTTATCGTCTGTAACAATTTTCTTAGTTTTTGATGTGACAGTGCTAGGATTATCGGCACCGACTACTGAGATGTTGTTCCTACTGCTAATTTTGAATTCTTTATGGTTCTTTATGGATATGCGAAAAGTCTCATAGTTTGTACCCAGTACACATTTTTTTTTGTCTTTTATTTTCATATATCGGTCGTAAAGTTCTGTTAGTTTTAAGGACTTTTTTGGAGCTAAAAGAATAATCGCTTTCATCTCACTTATAATCTGTGCTTTATAATCCTTTTCACTTTCTTTTTGCTTTTGTAAGGCCTGTTTCTTCTGTAGAAAAGTTTGTGCATCTGCATCAATGTTGCCATCCCTTTTAACCAGCTTTCCTAATGTTATTTGTTTACCTTTGATGGTGAAATATTGTGGGAGCAGTGCAATGCTTTGTTGAAGTTCTTTTGGATTGTATCCAAATAGCTCAAGCACATCTTCATGTCCTACAATACCGTTATGATTGCGAAACCTACTATATAGTTGATCAATGGTGTTTTGCCCGGTTTCAACCAGAATGGTTTGTAAGGTTACAATGACCTTGTTTCTTAATTTTATGTCTCTCGAAGTTTCTGCCATTTCCCCTTCTTTTGGTACGATGGTAGACAAATCTGAAAAAAAAAATAGATGATTTGGAGTAAAAAAAAAAGATTTGAATAAATATGCTAGCATAGAAATACAATACATTTTGAAATGCACACTACTGTGTTGTTCCAACTGTCCCATTTCCAATCCTCACTGTCAATTTTTTTTTTAATACAGTTGAACTTGCCTAAGTCAAATTCAAATTTCCATTAAAATATTGTTCGACTTCACTTTTTACAAACTTTGTTTATCCTTAAATCCTTAAATTTCAAGGATTAGGAGCCAGAATCGACTTTGTTTTATTGTTGTTATGCCACGTAATTGTTGGCTTATTTGCTTTAACATATACAACTGCGAATTAATTAAATTTGTAAAGTTGGCATAGGCGGCCTACTTTATCTATTTGTTAAAAAAAAAAAATTAAAAACAAGCCTGAAATGATCCGAGGACGAAACGATCCGGGATCGAAAAGTATGTGGAATATATCCGGAGATGAAACACGATTCGGGGTCAAACGATCCAGAGCTGAAATTATCAAGGCCCAAACAATCCGGCCACAAACATCCTGGGGCCGAAATATCCCAGGCTCAAACTGACCGGACTCCATAGTTCTTTTGTTCATGACAGACTAATTCGTGAGAGTAAGTGTCAGACGAGGCCTAGTTTAATATAAATTCCAAACTAGGTAGACTTGGCTAACCTATCTATCAACATGATGAGGCCTAGATAGGGAGGGGCTATAGACAATAGAATACAAAAAAAGATAGCTTGGCCTAGCCTATATAGGGCCTAGGCTAGACAGACTTATATGCCTTCATTTCGTCTTCGTTACAGTTGCATACACACTCTCCCTCCACTAGAAAGGCCTGGGCTTAGGACCAGGCCTAATAATAAAAGCAATTGCTTCATTTTGGACTTTCCGGTGATAGTCTACCTAGGACGCTAAACCACTACGACTACGACTCGAGGACTGACTAAACGTCTAAGCTATTTTATACCCTTGTTTTGTAGTAAAATTATGCTCAACCAGTCTCTTGATATCGGAAATACTGTCTATTTTAGTGTATTAAAAGTCGTCACAGTCAGTAACTCCTTTGTTTTAATCCGAGAGTGCTGATCGATCGCATTTGGGAATTCCCGATAAATGATTTTCGGGGAAATCCCTCAAGTTGAGACTAATGACGTCATAACAATAATCATGACGTCAACACCAGCCAATACATTGCATATTTTCAGGCCCTCAAAAACATCACCCGCAAATTATGAATAAAGCCTTGAAGCTCCTGTGCACCAATCCCTCTCTAGTCTTTGCTCGCAACGGAGGGTCGAGTGTCCGCGATGGAGGGTCCGGTGTTCTCGAGCAGTGGCAACGCAAGGATTTCACCGCCGTGGGTGGGGG